CTCGACAGGCTCAATGACCTGGAGGATAGAGGGATGGCGCAAGCGAGCAAGGCAGCTGGCTTCTCGTTTCAGCCGCTGAAAGGCTTCTTCGTATGCGCGTTTGAAGCCAGAGGACCCTCCAAGCGTGGCGGATGAAGATGAGGAAGAGGCGGCTGCGAGGCCATTCTGGTGCGATTGGTTCTGGACGGCTTTCTTATCGAGAATAAAGATAGAGGCGCGGTCTCCAGTGGACTTCTTCTTGCCATCGTGAACACGCCAGGGCCCAGCATAAAAGGATGGATGAGGAGAGTATTGATAGTTGGAGGAGATGTTAGACTGAAAGGCCTTGAGGGAGAACATGGCTGGCTTGGAGGGCCTGGCCTGATGAGAAGAAGAGGGATGAGAAGGAGAGGAAGACGGGGTTTCGAGCCCTTGACGAGACGGGGGGAGTAGACCGTCAGGCGGGCGGGGCGTGGCTAACGGGCACGATGCGGTTGCGGTTAACGTAATCCGACCATGCTTACTAACCGAAACGGGATGGGCCCGGGAGTCTTACGGAGTACAAGTTGTCGTTAAATGAGCAACTGGCAACTGGCAACTGGCAACTGGCGACTGGCGATTGGCATCTCAGACACCTCCTGCGCTGGCGAATTCCTCGATGTCTTTCAGCGATAACAGCGTATCCTCAACCGTTGTGATATCTATCCTCAAGTCGTCCTCGCCATATCTTCTGCTAGGGGCCCTGCCGAATACTTGGCAGAATGGAATGACTAGGGCATCCTGCCCAGTCTCGTCGACGATGTATCGCGAGCTCTCCGGGTCATGTCTGATGGTGAGCTTCTCTGCCACTTTTGGCACTCCTGCTTCCGCCGTCCAGCGACAGACGACAGCTGCTTGCTCCTTCGCCCTGGCGGACAGCGTCAACACGACCGGCTGATGCGCACAGCGGTTCAGCCACTTCTCCGCATCGGCGCGCAGCTTTCGGTCGCCCTCCCCTACCGCTGTTTCGATAACGATTCGCGGCGTGCCACCCAGACCTGGAGAGTGGCGTTCCATAAGCTCGTAAACTGCATCGGGTTGTTTTGTCGATCCGTCTGTGAGGGTGTAGCCTGGCCTGTTGATATTCTTCAGGACGTGGTCGAGGCCCATTTCCTGCAACTGGAGGTCCAGCGCAGCGACAACCTCCACAGTTGCCGATTCGTGGACGCGTTTTGGGGGCATTGTTATAAGGATGTATCGCTTGCTTATGTCGTAATACTCTTGAACGTGCTTGTAACTGTAAAGAGCAGCATGCTCATTCTCAACTTCATCCGCATAATTAGGAGGGACGTCGAAGACAATGCAGTACGCATCTTCAACACTCGCATCTTCACTGCTTTTTTGGAATGCGCTCTCCAGTAATCCGTCCAGTGTGCTGCTATTGCCATCCAGATAGTGGACGGTGACCCGTTCGGCAGGAATTCCTTCCTCATCCAAAACAGCCTGAGCGCGAGCATCCATCGTTTATCTTCAAAGGCTTGCTCGAAAGATACAACAGAGTATGCTATGTTTTGTTCCTTCACAATCTGATGAGATGGTGGAAGTGCACTTATATAACGGCTAGTAGGTCACTCGCTACGGGAATCGCAAACCATCATACGCTTTTCCAGACCAATGCTGCGAGAAAGTTACTCCGTATGACTGTTGGTTGCCCTTGTCCTCCCAGTCCATTGCTATGCAACGACTCCTGCACACGAAATGAAGAGAGAGGTTTATATGAGTCCGACGGCGAGAGACAGTCATCTTACTGTAGACTAAGGAAAAAAAGGCCCCTCGATACGTATGCTGCTATAACATCGCGGACCCATGTCGTCGGTGACAAAACCGTGGGCATGCTAGGGGTAGACGGAGAAGAGTAGAGTGTACCTTGGTTAAAATAGGCACGTTCTGTTTACCTCCCAGATATACTCCTTATCAGGAGCAAAGTATGCGTTCATCGGCAGCGTCCGTTGACAAAATCAAAGCGTCGTACGAAGTGAGATATCAGAACTGTAGCAACACTTCATCTTCATCTGAAGATCAGCATTTGCACGTAAGACAGACATGGTTGGGTTTCATGGTTGCACATCGCTAATGTATTATCGCGTACGTATAGCAGCAAGCCCAGGAGCACATTTGAAGGCCTGCATCCGTACGTAGTAGTCGTATATAAAATCCACAATTGCACTGATTGAGCCAATGCCAGACAAGAGAAGGTCGGAATGCCACGACATTCTCTACCTCGCCGGCCTGCTGCTATGTAAAGTGTAGAAAGCAAAAAGGAACCGGAACTAGAGAGCTATAAGCCTCACAAATTAAGAAACAAACGAAGGCGGTCGTTGGCGCGACTGCGTAAGACGGTACACGGCAGTCATCCAATTACCGGGAGGTAAACCCTTAACTATATACATTGTCCCGATCATTGGTAAGTGTCAATGTTAACATAAAATTGTTCAGCAAGAGGGGGGATTCTTAAGAGCATCCATTATCATCTTTTCGAATCGCTTTCCGTCAATTTGATGAACATAAGTCACATTGCGCACACCAGAGGGTGGCATCAACGCCTTTTGGTACAAATGGATGTTGCCGTAGTTGGGGCTGCCATAAGAGATGTCGACGTCCAGGTACGCTTTTAGATATTAAAAGATCAACAAAGTTAGCAAATGCTCCCATCTCCAAAGCAATACCTAACCAAAGAAAAGCTCACCGTTCGTTGAGTTCGTGATGATAGATCGATCAACCATCAACGCGGCAGCTGTCTCGTCCCAGAAAGGGAACGTGGTGCCATAGTAATCATGGAAGAGCTTGCTGTAGGTCGTGTTATATTTTCCAACCTCGTTGAGGAACTTCTGTGTCGACATGACTTGGTTAGCAACATTGCCAGCAACGATGACTTCGGGGAAGTCAGCGTTGAGGGCAATTTTGCTTGCTTCCGGATCAATCATCAGGTTGATCTGCTCGCAAATTTAGTATATGCGCGCGAAAGGTGAGAGGAAAAGGAGTATTCTTCACATACATCGGACTGGAGGTCTGCAAGCTGGGTAGACCCCGTAACCATGAGCATGTTATCATCGACATAGCCACCCATGATGACCAACTCCTTCGCCAATGATGCAAACGTGGGGTCCATGCGCACGGCAAGAGCCACGTTTGTCAAAGCCCCGGCAGAGTAGATTGAGACCTGACCCGGATATTTATGAACGGCCTCAATCATGATTTGAGCTGCGGGAGTAGAATTCTTAGGCGTTCCCTTTGGAAACCCCTCCTTCAGCGCAGGCTTGACAACTCGGAAGGGATCACTGCCTGAAGTAGGATCATTGCCCTCTTCTTCGGCTGTCTTGTTGTAAGGAGCAAAAGCACCCTCCCAAGGAAGTTTGCCGTGGATGTTGCTCCATGCGTGGAAACGCTCAGGCGTGTTGAGTAAAGGCCATGTCGCTCCTTCGTAGACATCGATACACTTGTCGAGGCCACCAACTTCCAGATAGGCTTGGGCATGATAAGCGCACTGACGCGACCAAGTATTCGCCGTATCTGCATACCCGAGCTTAGTTAGCAGTCATCGCTTTGACTCAAGCATAGGAGAAAGATGGCCTGTACCCGAGACTAAGGCCAGCACCTCCATGCCGCCCTTCATGGCCATCAAGAAGGGCGCGAAACCGGCAGATCCAGACCAGTCATTGTCCAAGATAGCATATCGCTTCGCGCTTTCATTGCGAGAGGCAATCGGCGAAGCAGACGCCAAAGCTAGAAGCGACGCATACAAAAAGGAACGCATCTTGGAGTTGAGCAACCAGTTGTACCCGTACTGATAACGAAACCCCTGAAAGATATTCAGCAAAGCTTTTGATCTATAAACGACGAGACCAACTGGCCAAAGTGCAAAAGAGATTTTATAAGAACCGCTTCCCGGTTGGAGACGAGCAATACGTCTCTTATCGTGGGGTTACTCTTCCATTGGCTCTTGCTACGGTATCAATTATCTTTTTGATAATTGCATTGCGACCAGGGGACTCCTCAGTGGAGTCGCTCAACGGGTATGCATATGATGCAACCTTTCCAGTCGTTGCACGCCGTTGAACGAGTCAAAACTATCCGTGACATGACCTTTTGGTCTCCAAGGATAGCATGCAAGTTTGGACCATCATATAGCACTGGCAGAAAAGGGAAAGTCGATACATTTCTCCATGTGAAGGAAAGGAGTGGCTGATTTTTCCGTTTTACTGTCTGCTTGCTGAGTGGCGTAGAACAGCAAGATAACCTCCAAGCAAGCACCCCGTGCCTCGCCCCTCCGCTGCCAGGGGCAGGGGGGGCGTAGGGGCCCGACGGAGACCCCGTCGGCCCTCTATGCCCCCCTGCCTCACTGGCACGTCTAATGTCCGTAGAGAGACGCAGCTAGAGTAGCTAGAAGTTAAGTAAACATCATTATTAACTTCACCTCCAAGCAATCCTTAGTGGTGTAACGGCTAACATCGCTGTCTTTCAAGACCTGTGAATGACCACAGCAGCTCGGGGTTCGACTCCCCGCTAAGGAGGATTCGTTTTAATTTTTTTTGATTTTTTCACGTCATTTTTCCATGCTGTCAAATGTCATTATCGAAGTTTGGTCAAGGTTTGTTTTTACGCCCACCAGTAATGAGAGTTGAAGCGAACAACCTCGTTCCCAATCGAGCTCCAACCTGCCGTCAGATTTCGAGCGAACACCTCTACCGCTGAATAGGTCTGATGTCGCGACTCAGGCATTGGTTCGTCGCTTGCGCGCTGAGCCGCCGGGAATAATAGCATTTCTATTAATTCTTTGACATTTGGCTTGCGGGAATGTATATCTGGCACAGCCAGAATCACCCTTCTTTTAACAGACCAATCTGATGTCGTGTGTAGCCTGCCACGTCTTCTTGCAATTAAAAGGATCTCATATGGCTTTCTCCAAATCCCATCAATGGGATAGACAGGCTGTCCTTCAGCGGTAATCTTCAACCAAACCCACTCTTCAAAAACCCGAAGCCGGGCACGATAGAGGGCTTGTAGTGCCGTGCGACGCGAGTGAGCCGAGTTCGTAACCCAGATTCCGACATACGCTGGCTCATTACCGTCGTCTTCAAGAAAAGTATTAATCGTAGAGGCA